AACTATTATCATACACAAGAAATTTTACATGGATACACAATATTATTTACACAGAATTCATATTCAAATTTTCCCAATTGTCCTCAAAATCCAGAACCAACTAAATTTTCACGTTATGTTCAATTGTCATATCTCTTTAGTGCCATACACAGATTTGTCTGATGGTTTCCTCATGATTAGAATCTTTGGGAAAGAATTCTAATTGGTAATCTTGTGTATTTCCCACTGTATCTCATGAGGAGACATATATAGTATCATTTTGTCTCATTATTGGTGATGGTCAGTTTGATCACTGGGTAAAGGTGATGTCTGCTGATCTATTTTAATTGTAGTCTTTATCCTTTGTGATTAATAATTAATCTGTGGGGTGACACGAGATTATGTGAATGTTCTGTTCTCCCAAAACTTTTCTACTTACTGGCTTTAACATCCATTGATATACTTTGTCTAAATCAATTATTTACATTGATGTTATAAAATGGTAATTTTCTCAAATTATTTTTTCTTCTACATATTGGTATACATTCTTTCATAGAGAGATTTCCCTTCTTACCTTGAACTTGTGTATTTATTATTTATTTATTTTTGGTAACGTGGTGTTTCCATGTGTTATCACACACTAATGTCATGCTTCTTATTGATGATGCTAAAATTGTTCCAAATTTGACTAACTTGAGCACCTACAATATACCTCCTGTGTTCTTTTCGGACATCCTCATCATTTTCTTTTTATGCCCCTGCCTTTGTATGTCCTCTGTCACAACTTGACATTTCAATGAGATACTGCTTTTTTAATGACTATATTTCTATATGCATTTTTGTCTATTTGTGAGTTTTCTATTCTCTTCCATTGATTTCTCTTTCTATCTATTCACAGATCAATATCACACTGTTTTAATTATAGAAGCTTTGTAGTATGTTTTAATATAGGCACCCCTCATTATTCTTTGTTAGGGATATTATAGCTATTTTTTTTAAAAGATTTTATTTATTTATATGACAGAGAGAGAGAGAGAGCACAAGCAGGGGAAGCAGCAGGCAGAGGGAGATGCAGGCTCCCCGAGGAGCAAGGAGCCCGATGCGGGGTTCGATCCCAGGACCCTGGGATCATGACCTGAGCCGATGGCAGTCTCCCAACCAACTGAGCCACCCATGCACCCCAGGATATTGTAGCTATGTTTTATGTTTATGTTTGCTTCCAAATAAACTTCAAAATCTACTTGAATAGCTCTGTAAAACAACTTTATGCTATTTTTATTGGGATAATATTAAATTTATTATTAAGATGGGAATAAATGATAGCTTTATAATGTTTACTCCTGCTATCCAAAAAACAAAATAAACAAGATCTCCAAATTTATTCAAATTTACTTTTGTATCTTTCAAAGGTATTTTAATTTTTCCTCACACACCTTTAACACATTTCCTGCTAAGTTTATTCTTAAATAAATCCTGCTTTCGCTACTAGTGTAACAGAGATTTATCTTGTGCTATCATCTAACTAGCTATTGTTTATGTACAGAAAGACTTCTGGTTTTTGTTTTTAATTTAACATTCCATCGCTTTACAGAATCTTTTTTCATTATGTTAGTGTTTTTATTGATTCTCTTGGATTGCCCAAATACGCTACAATATCATCTGTAAATATAGTTTCACTTCTTCTATTCCAATTCTTTTTTTTTTTAAGATTTTATTTATTTATTTGAGAGAGAGGATGAGAGATAGAGACAGCATGAGAGGGGGGAGGGTCAGAGGGAGAAGCAGACTCCCTGCTGAGCAGGGAGACTGATGAGGGACTCGATCCCAGGACTCCAGGATCATGACCTGAGCCGAAGGCAGTCGCTTAACCAACTGAGCCACCCAGGCGCCTTCTATTCCAATTCTTATGGCTCCATTGTTTACTGTAATCTGATTGCATTGGCTAGCACCCCTAAACCGTAAGAGACTGAATCATACAAAACAAACTGAGGGTTGCTGGAGGGGAGGGGGTTCGGGGGAGGGGGTAACTGGGTGATGGACATTAAGGAAAGCATGTGATATAATGAGCACCTGTCATCACCTCTGAAACCAATAATACATTACATGTTAATTAATTTAATTTAAATAAAAAATGTTTAAAAATAATAATCTATTTTGTAGTGGAGTTAGTATCTTTGCCTCATTCTTGGCCTTTACTGTGAATGCTTCTAACATCCTCCATCAAGAAATATACTGGCTTTAGGACTGCAATGTGTGTGTTTGTGTGTATGTTGTTATAGATACATATTATTACCAAAGAAGAAATAATCATTTCCTATTTTATTCAGTGTTTTAATCAGGAATGGTTGTTAACCTTTGTCAAAGGCCATTTCAGCATCTATGAAGATGATTTTACAATTTTCTACTTACATTTACAAACATGGTAAATTATGTGAGTGGATTATCTGATATTGAACCACCCTTACATTTTTGGAATAAACATTATTTGTTCATAATGTATGTTATTTTAGATTTTTACTTTTATAGTCCTAAGTAAGATTGAGCTGTAGTTTATTTTTTGTGCTATATTCATAAGGTTTAGATGACAACATTGTTGTTTCATAAAAATATCTGTGCCTTTCTTTTTTTTCTATACTCAGAAACAAATTAAGTAGCATTAGGAGTATATGATCTTTGGAGTTATAAGATTCCTCTATGGGAATTCTGGGTCTAGTCCTTTTATAATAACTTTCTCTATTTATTCTACAAAAACTGGAAACCCTTATGTGATTTTGCAGAGCAGAACGCTCCCATTATCCTTCACTACAGAGCAAATATATGTATATTCTTCAAGGTCTAGCTCATATATCATATCACACTCCATCCCCTACTGTAGGACAGAATCAATCCTTTCTTATTTCTTCAGCACCCATAGCACTGTGCATATTTACAGGTCCGATCACATTGTTGTAGCGTACCTATCTATAGAGGTTTCCCTTTCAAAGAGAGAGACATGGATTTAATCGTGTTTAATTCTCCAGCCTCGAAAAGATTGCTTAGTTCTTGATAAGCAGGAAATAAATATATTTTGAATAATGATGAGTGAAGAGAAGTAAAAATAATAATAAAATTTCACTTCAGTATGAACCATAGTCTATTTGTAAAACAGGTAGCCTCCAGGGTCAGATACACTAGGGTTTCTTTCCCAGTTTCTCACTGGCAAGTCTATGACCTTGGTCAATTATCCTGTGTTTTGTTTTACTCATCTATAAAAATATAGGTAAAATCTCATGGGGGTTTTGTATTCAGAACATGCGTAAAACCCCTAACATTAGGTACTTTAGGTACTCATCAGATAATAACTTGCCCTATTACTCCCCATGTGAACGCTTACTTTGTAGTTCTTTGGGCAACTCCAGAGAAATCATGAAATATGGCTCTCTCACCTGTAGGACCACAGTGCACAATCCAGCCTTCTGATAGTGGTTCCCTTCAAAAGTGTCTGTATGGATGAAATTCTCTAGTTCATGTCAACAACCACATGCAGGAACGCAGAGTGTCTTTGTGATTTTTAAATTCAACATTTGTTTTACAATTGTAACTTTGCATTAGTTCAATGTAGTTATGAAATGTGTATCCTACTGGAGTTCTGAACAACAATACATTGTATTCTGAACAACAATTTAGCAGTCCTCATACCTGGGCTTTCTTCCCAGTTCCTGTGCTATTTCCCCAGACAGCAAATTAATTAAATGGCCTTTGGCCATGGCTCTTTCCCTTGAGTCAGCTTTTCTCTCATTTAAAGTATAGAGACAGGGGGTATTTAATTAGCCCAATGCCTGGCACATTGCATACACTCAATAAATGTTTGTTAAGTCTTGGAATTCTCTTTGGATAAAGGTCACTTTTGCTAGTACTATTAATTTATGAGCATCTGAACAGTTCCTGTGATGATGATATTGACAATGAACAAGGACTTAAGGAAAGTTAACTCATAACTTACAGGGATGTATCATGAGACCAGATTTTCAGCAACTCACCTATTTTGAACGTATTCACTATTGGCCTAATGTTCTGTAGTTGTGATTCTACACAAAAAGCTCTGGGATTCTAAAATGTGAAGACCTACAGCAATTACCTGAATATTTACACTAGAAGGAGAGGGAGAGAGGGAGAGAGGGAGAGAGAGAGAGAGAGAGAGAGAGAGAGTATGTGTAAGCCCAAACTAAATATAGAGTCCCCATTCTTTATGTAAGCTACTTAAGGAAAAGGATATTACCTTTTAATTTTTTTCTCTCCAGTAAAAGTTATAATTGCTCGTTCAAACCCCAAACTATATATAAATTATGAATAGTTTAAAATGCTCTTAAAAATAAGTTTTTAGAAAAATATTTTCCCTGAAATAATGTTTTCACTGACCTAGAAAATTTTTCTTAGCTGTTGCCATACTTAACATTTCTAACTGATGATGTATGTTGTGATGATGGCAGTGAGCAGAAAAAGCTTGAGGAAACATGCACAGTGCTGATATTTTACTAAAATGAATGGAGCACTAATTCATAAAACATAATTTAATTTTTAAGTAAAAATCTGACTTTCCAGAGTGTCATTCCCTTAAGGCTAGATCTTTATAGGCCCAAAGCCTGTGTGAATTTACACAGCTGCTTTGAGGCTTTGCATACTTCCTTGTTTTAGGTGCTTTGATTTTTTTTTTTAAAGGGGTATTTTTATACTGAAATAAAACACAACTATTAACACGAGCCTCAAGGGAAAAAGAAACTAACAAACGATCAGCTTAAAATGTTTCAATACTTTTCCTTTAAAATCTTGCACAACTTTTAGAAGTTGGAAAAATTAAAGCCATCCCCTGCCCCCAAAAGAGGAAGGACAAACTGTCATGAGTTCGGAACCCGAGAGCAGAGGTGCAGGTGTTAATACTAGAAGGTTTGCCTGTGAGTGAGAGCATCTCTCCTAAATGATCATTATCTGAATGCTTTAGAATCTTTTCTTGGGCCCGGGTGTCTCTAGATTGCCACCCTCACCCCAGGACGCAAGGAGTGCTGCAGAACATTTTCTGCATTAGCTCCCAGCCAAAAGTGAAACAAGTTGCCTACTGACCAAGAGGCCATTTATAGAACAGATTTGCTTACACAAGTGCGAGGCAGTCACTGAAAGCCAACGCAAAGAAGTCATTCCTCTTTACCTTGCTCGGAGGGACTCTGGCCTGGAGAACCATGGCCGCATCCTCTGTCAGAGAGGTGGCGAAAGACACGCTCTTTCTACTGACGACATCTGGAAGAAGAGACACTTGCCATGGTGAGCTTTTCAATTACTCCCGAAGACGAAGTGTGAGACACAGGCGTGCAGGATGATTGGATTACACAGAACGAGAGAGAAGCCATCTGTGAACCACACGTCAGCTGCTGAGTGCCAGGACGAGCACCCTTCGGAGACGACCGAGTTCTCATTCCATTCGTAGTTTGGTCAAATTTGAAGGATGACTTGATTGTTTTTAGACAGCACTGCAAATAGGCAGGGATTTGAAATTCTCCCTGGCTGTATGAGTAATTACTGTCTCCTACTTAAATTAGAAACATGGATTTTCAGTTAGGACGTCCCGAGATGGTCTCCAAAGGATGCTACTGGCATTCGTGTTGAAGCGTGGCCTGTTCCCTCGTTTACTCGCAGCGGCCTCGGCCGGCTGAGGAAAGAAATCATTAGCCCGTTCTTATCGGGGCAAAGCAATATACGAGTTCTGGCTTGGGGATGGGAAGGAGAGTGGTCCTCATGCTCTAAGATAAAGGCCTGCATATAGTCAGTGAAATGTTTTTAAGAACTGCCAGGCGCTCTCTCTCTGTGCCCCAAGGCTCCAGAACCAGTCCTTCACTTACACATTTAACCATCACCGCATCTTTTGACTGGCACCAGCTTGCAACTTGTGGATGGAAACTTACTTGTTTTGAGGGTCCACCTTTTCCAATTATAGCACCTTCTTCACCTCTTCTCGATCAATCACATTCTGCAATATATACCCCCATACAGAAGAGCATGGGCTCTGGTAAAAGGGAAAAGATTGTCTTAGCAAGCCCAGGGTTTGGTATCTTTCTTCTGGAAATGTTTTTAAATTTGACTTTCATAATGCATATTACTAATGTTATCAATGGTCTTGTACTAATAGACCTTGGATAATTCCTTTAGTCTGTGGTTGCCCTGCATGTCTGTTTGCATTGTGAGTTCTTGCAGAGGAAAGGCCCTTTTGTCTGCCAGTAACTTTGTACTAGTTCCCAGGGGCTGCTTTCAGATTTTGGCACATGGGGAACCCTCAGTCAGTGTTTGACTATGCCAGTCCTGTGCTTTGCCCTATTTGTGCCAGGAATTAGCCAGCCTTTCTCCCAAGAAAAGCCCAGGGAGAGCTTCCTGGGAGTCACAGCCCAGTGCCGAGCAAAGGACCTGTGCCCCCAACACTTTCAGAGTGTTTTGTGTACAACTCCTATCAGAATTATTCAGTTCTGTAGTAATCACACCAAACCTATCCTCCCACAAAGTTGGCGTCATGCATTGGGAGCCAACACTCATTTCAGTAATAACCACTCCACCGGATAAAATATTGAAAAGTACAAATCTTCTATAATGACACTAGGAAAAGTAGGTGGCTGATGAAAGATCTTGTGTGGAGATGGTGTGTACGTGTGTGTGTAGTTACATCTACAACAATAAATATCTTTTATTTGAATGACTACTATGATCTCTTGTGAGCGGAGAGTATGATATAGAAATACACACACACAGTCAATAGTTATAAACTTGTTTTCCAAGTTTGCCATTACATGGATAAGGTATACCCATGTGTACATATTATAAGTACATGTGTATGTGCATTCCTTTTCATTCGGCACATCCACACGGAAGTTAAGGAATAAAATGTGGAAATCTCTTCACATTCTTGTATTCTGACTTGTGCCCCTTGGCACCATGTTTTAAAGTATTTTCAGTCCCTTTGTGTAACTTGTATTCCGAGTTCTTTGTTGAAACCCGACTTAGCGATTTCCTTCATAGTGGAGACATTCAGAAACGTCAAGGTATTAAGTAGATATTTTAGAGACAATAGTACATAATTGAGAACTGCTTTCTGATAAAGTTAGAGGAGAAAATGTGTTCAGGCCCACGATCCTATATCTTCCAGGCCAGATATGTTTCCAAATTCAGAAAATTTTAAATTTTAAACAGATAATAGGATCCATATAATATATTACATCATATGCCCAAGCAGTCTAGAACTTCATTCTGTGTTCAAACACATTGTTTGAGAAGCTCGATGTATGAATATTCACCCCACGTGGGATAAACAAAAACTAAATAATTTTACATCGGCTTACGTCAGGTTTTGACACCAAATTAGCTCAGGTCAGGTAATATTCTACCACCCTAAGAGTTCTAAAAACAGTTTTCAGAGCTTTTAGATTTAGGGTTCATAGATAACAAATTGCGGACAAGTACCAATTTAACCATAAGAATCTGAAGACTGAGGGGTGCCTGTCTGGCTCAGTCAGTAGACTATATGACTCTTGATTTCAGGGTCATGCCCCACATTGGGTGTAGAGATTACTTAAAAATAAAATCTTCAAAAAACAAAAAATCCAAAGACTGCTGTTGATGACAGAACTCCAAATACGAATGATGAAGCTGAAGATGTTGCTTTAACACCGTCACATTAACCATAAGAAGTAAAAAAGTGCAATTCCTTTGCTCCCAGTGCCAGAATTAAATGAAACCGGTTCCTATTAATGCTTCCTGCTCCTTCTATTATAGCCAGCTTGGCTTTGGAAGCCTGGTGCTGTATATTTTTAGTTTGACTGATTTTCTCTAACCCATTTCTCCCTTTCACGGCCTTCTACCACATCTGTTGTTCAGTGCGTTCTTGAAATTAAAATAAAGTACTCTACAGGATATCACTAAATTGTAAAAACATATTCAGAACAAACAGGCTCTATTTTATTTCAGGGAGCCGTGGAAATACCAATCAGAGTTGAGGTAAATTTCTTTCTGTTTATAGCCTTCATGGAGTTTCCTTAAGTTTGGGCCCATGGTAAAGAGAAGATATATGGGTACACACATAAGTACACACTGATTTCATTGTTTCAGATTTACTAGGTAATAAACTGTACCTTGAAAGGTAAAGTCACAATAAGGGACAGCGCCTCTAAACAGTTACAGCACAGAATCCAAAAACAGTTGGCTTGGCCACGCAGTTGTGGGTTTGGACAATTATGTCCATACCCCCTCCCATAGACCTAAGTCAGGGCTACTAGTAACTGTAAATGTGGACACATGAGTTTCACTATCTCACTTCCCCTACTTTTAAGCGGTTGACCGCAGATCTGGGCCTAAAAGGACAGTATAGAGTGAAAGAACATTGGGAGGATGTAGGGAAAACATCTGGAGGGAAGATACATTGTATCAACTCGGAATAATGCCTGGGAAAGACACCTACAACTTAGGGTAAATTCAATACAGTGATCACAGAGTTAAAATAAATGTTGAATGATAAACTTAGGGTCCTGAGTCAAAGAATATGAATTGGATTTACAGCAGGAAGAGGCTCTGGAGCAGAGAGAAAGAGAGGGTGGGCATTCCAAACAAGAGAAACGGAAAATACAGAGGAAGTGAAACAAGCCAATGAGAGCGGCTTTGCTCGAAAGGTCCGAGCCCCAGGCCACCGAGGAATGCGGATTGCTGGAGGCTTCCAAGGACAAGCCAGTTTATTGTATTTTGGTTCAAAATGAAATAGCACTGTTCTGGAGTAGCACTGGGGCAGATAAAGTCGGCACAGAAGGAAAATTATTCTAATAGCCGTGTGGAATCAGAGACTTGCGGAGAGGATAATGGTTGGTTTATAGGAAAAGGCCTGGGATTTGAGTTTGTGTGGACCTACAATACATGAGGAGGATTCGATTTCTAAACACACCTTGGTGGCAAAATGGGCCATCTTGGTGAGAGGGGCTGAAGAAGAAGGCAAAACGAAGAAGAGGAAAAATGGCTTCACAGTTTTGACAACAAACCAAAGTGGTTGCGATGCTGTTGATAAGGATGCTGAGTGAAGTAAGTCAAGCAGAGAAAGACAATTATCATAAGGTGTCGCTCATATGTGGAACATAAGGAAGAGCACAGAGGACCACAGCGGAAGGGAGGGAAAACCAAATAGGAAGAAATCAGAGAGGGAGACAAACCATGAGAGACTGTGGACTCTCGGAACCAAACTGAGGGTTACAGGGGGGGGCGGGCGGGAGGATGGAGTGACCAGGTATGGGGATGACCACTGGGTGTTATATGCAACTAAGGAATCGTTGAACACTACAACAAAAACTTACGATGTACTATATGCTGGCTAACTGAACATAATAATAATAAAAAAAAGAACAGTGAGGTTAAGGAAATAGGAAATTAGAAGCAACCTGGTGGAGTCAAGACGTGCAGTTTCAGGGCCCGGGCTCGCTCCAGGGGGTGTCAGAGTCACCTGAAGGCCTTGTTGAAGTACAGATGCAGGACGCCGCCCTCAGAGTTTCCCATTCAGTAGGTCTGGGATGGGCCCAGTGCTTGCATTTCTGGGTACCATGTTTTGAGAACCATTACTTTAAATCATGTACTCAGGGGCACCTGGGTGGCTCGGTGGGTTGAGCAGCGGACTCTTGATTCTGACTCAGGTCGTGATCTCAGTGTCCTGAGATGGAACTCAGCGGGGAGTCTGCTGGAGATTCTCTCCCTCTCTTTGTGTTCCTCCCCCTGCTGTGTGCTCTCCCACGCTCTAAAATAAATAGATAAATCTTTAAAAAAAATCAACCAGTCAACCAATCAATCAATCATGTACTCAGAGGCAGTGATGGTGGAGGCAAGGATGGAAAGCCGGGGCCAAGGGTGCAAATGTGGGAATTATCCACACCCAGGTCACTGGGGAAACTATGTTGTGGGGACTTCCTGATTTACAGCACCTTCCATCATTTTTATACTCGCTATCATCTGTTTCCTTAATTATATTGCGAGCATTAAAGTGAAATAAGTGTTGGTCTCTGGCAGCTGTTATAAAAGGGACTGAAAGTTTAAGAAATAAAAACCCTTGTTCTGAAAATAGACA